TACCAGCTACATGATCAAAATTTCACCATATGTAATTACTCCAGTAGTTTCGCGGTTTAAGTATCTAACAAAATTTCGAACAGACAGACGACGGATACACGAAAACAGGAGACCGACTTTTCAAATTCAACGGATTGTGAAGCGTCGAGAAAGCACGAAATTAGATATTCGCGAAAACAGTGCTTTCTTATTTTATACGCTGCAAATTGGAATAAAAACTATTTATCCATAATTTGAATAGATATGATTTTAAATCTAAACCAAAATTTGATTAATTAAGAGTGTGCTTCGTATTGTTTTGGAATGAATGAAGGGTAAGGTAAGACGGGAAGGGGTGAACTTGAATACTGTTTTTGTATAACAAAATTTTGTATCTTATTGTCATTTAGGTCAATAATGCTTGAACAACCTCATTGTTACAGATCCCCGTTAGTTTATAACAGATAACAGTAACACACAGCTTTCAGATTTATATGAATCTCAGAGTGGTATTCAGAAAAATAATTGTTCGTCAGAGATTCACCTGACTAATTGTTTTGATAAAATAATTTCATAATGACGAAATTCAATTACACACCTACATAGAAGCACAAACGAATTAATATTTTACCACCGAACACGAACCTTACGAACATCTTAATTAAATTCTTTACAAAATCGAGCAGTTAGACCTCTGCTCTTTAGTAACCGCCGAGTTTCGACCGAGGATCTGTAATTTATAGTTTTACAAATTAAGGATTTAGGTTCCTTTAATTTTCATGTTGCACACATTTTATTTGTATACACGAAAACATAAAGTGTCGAATGCAAAAAATAATTGTTACATATTGCTGAATTAAAGTTAATAACGGAAGTAAAGGTTCCTAGACAACATTCCTCTATTAGAAGTTCATTTGTATTCTAGTCGATTCATTCATTCATTTTACCTGCACTTATGTGACTTAGTTGTGAAAAAACAATGTCTTCGTGGAAGAGAATGGAGGATGAGAAAGTACAAAGTAAGGCGTCTTTAATTTTATATATTATACTGGGGTCTGTTCACATGAGGGTAATAATGTTTTCAATGAAATAATATCATCGGCATCAACAATACAAGTAAAGGATAATTATTTCTTTGAATGAAAGTCCAATGCCGATTAAGATAAATTGTTTAAAATCTCAAAATAGGTTAATGATGCAAAACATGTGAATTCTATTTCTGATGAAATCTACCTTTTTTCAGTTAATTTCAAATCACTTAATCTGCCGCCAAACTAAAGTGGGAGACTCGGAAGATAATGTGATCCTTCTTGGCTGTATTCACAAGTGGGTGTGCACTTTGTATTTGAACTGTATCCCCTATATACAACAGTGGTTGTTCGTACACAAACAGCTTTGAGTATATGGAGCAAAGTGTCTGCTTACGGTTTCACAACCACAATTACGTGTCTATATTTTTTATATTTCGATTAGTTTGCCGACTTAGATCACCAAGTTCACGTATAATATTTCAGTTTTAGTTTTAGATTTATTTCCGGACTAGGTAAACATTTTTTTATGACAACAGAGCTACACCGGAGTTTTTAATGTAATTGGAAAATCAAACTAAACTCACGAAGGGAATTCTAGTAAGATATTTTTCGTGTTTCGTTTAATTAATTTATTAAAATGTTTTCAGTTTGCATTAATGTTTTGATTTTGTGTACAAACACTAACTTACTCAAGCGATTTCGTGTAGAAATTACTTGTTGCCTTGGGCTGCAACATTCTCCCCAGATTAATTAGAGAACTAATTCTATTATCAGAAACCACCAGTTGTCTCGGTCAATGTGACGACTTGAAACATCGGCATAACAATACATTTCCTCTATCATTATTGCCGTAGTTGTATAAATAAATAACTAAAATTTGGGAAAGAATACAAGATTATTCATTCATCAAAGTGATTCTTATTAATATTTCCCTTAGCTATCGTTCGGGAAGTAAAAAATACGGAATAAGTCAAAAACCGTGTACATATTTACAGTCAAGGGATTTTAAACTAGAGTCTACATTTTTTAGTAACATTATTGTCATTTATCAACAAATATACGATTAGATTAACTTTCTGAGATTTCTAAAACACCGTATGCTAAAAGTTGATGATTGATGGAAATATGAATGATAAACTGTTAACATTTTAACTTAATAGATAAACGTTCTATTTTTAAGAATTCAGGTTTTATTGTCGTGATAAAATAAAAAATATTGAAAGTAAATGTGTTCCTGGTTAGTCATTACCATTTTTTTCATAGTTCACAGGACGTTTAGGCTCATTCATCAAAACGTAACCGTGAATATTGTAAATCCAAGTATAATTAACTGAAATTGGGGCAGTGAATCATTAACAATTAATATCTACATCATTTCTAGTATCTCAATTTGTTGGAATTATTTTGCAGTGATAATCTGGAAAAGTAGCGTACCGATTAATTCGAAATTTGAATATCAGTTCAGATAACTGAACAGAAAAATAACCAAAATTTGTCCTATTTGTTATGATGGGGTACTAAGTATTTGTGCCTTAATATGTGCAAACTTTTTAAAAATTAGTTAAACAAATCTTTAATATGCGTCGACATACATGCGATATTTGCTGTGACTCGAGGCCGAAGGCACTTTTGTGTACATAATTTACAGGCTTTACTTCCAGTGTGTAAATGTAAGCATTTTTGTTACTAAAAAAATGTAACAGTATTAATTGTGTTTTATTTACTGTGTGTTTCTGAATATACATAATTTAATCTCTCCTTTTTTTTGCTTTAGTAACATAAATGGAAATTTTGCGGCTTTTGATTAAAAACAACAAAGTTAGAGTTCAACAGACTACCAAAATCTGACACAAAAAAAAAGAGCTTTTGTTCTATGTTAACGAAATTATGAACACTGAGTTTTATGTCGATGTATGTCTACGGTCTGTCTGTTGTAAATTTTCTAACAATTTCGACGGATAATATACACATTTTATCCCTAAAAGAATTAAGTTTGGACTATCAAATTTTCCAATTAGTTTCGGAAATTTTGGTGGGATAACGTAACAATGCTTTCGATTAATCAGCGGCGCCAAACAAACTTTTAACTACGAAGCAAATTCTGCGTGTTTGGACGTACAACATAAAATTATAGATAAATTTAACGTCCAGAATTAATTAATTCTTGCACGAAACTACGGAAGACAAATAAACAACGTTGATGACGATAACAATAAAATATTTATTTTAGTAATTTACCTACTGACTTCATTACGTAGCAAGTCGCTGAAGAATCAGTTTCACTAAAAAACTCCTTTTTCAGCACGTGGAAAAAATAATTTTGCAGCGTCAAGACATTCATAATATTGCACATTATTTATTCCTTCGTTTCCTAGAGTACCTCTTTGTTGGAGCACAAAAGGCAAAGGGAACATGAAAAATGTTACATTTCGGGCCCTTCAGGCCCACATCGGCAATTTTTCACGGTGCTTCTCAGCCTAAAGCAAATTTCACCACATTCGCATTAAACTAAGCAACTGACACCTGTAACTCGTTTACGTATTCAGTGAAATCTCGCACTCAAGACTCTGCATTAGCCTAAAACTTCTAAATCCTCTTGACAAACAGGCATCCGTTCCAAGCAACGACCCCAAGGAACTTGATTTACGCACTATGTATTACTTTCATCAGGTTCGTGTGCCTTCTTGAACATTGAACGATGTTTGCTAGGATAAAATGTTTTAGAATACTTACTTCCACTTCACCTGCTCTAGTGTAAACGCCGAGCAATTAAGGGAGGAAGAACGTCACAAGCAAGCAGATTTGACTTTCTCGAGGAAATTAATCTCTTGTAATTGAAAAAGTGATTGGCAGTGATAATTGTTTAATTAAATGGCAGTTGATTCCAGGACAAATTTGACTTGGATTTTCTACTTAACAGAATGATGATAAAGTAACATAAAAGTAATGACAGATGAACAAGTTTGAAGATTTGTTTCGAAATTAAAGACGTACTATTTTGTGATCATTTAAAAGCAAGGGGGCGTTAACTGGCTTTATTATTATTCAAGATACAATTTTTTGCGTAATTTCCTTTTGACATGTGTTTAGAAAAAAAAACCAAATATATTTTTATCATTGAAATAACTTTAAAACCCAACGCTATGTACATTTTTTAAATTTCTTATTGAAAGATCATTATCCCTTTAATCAAAATCATACAATTATTTGTATCGAACTTTCGAGGCCTATTGCATGTTTTTGACTTGGCACCTTCAACCTTCTGAATGGGATGAATAAATACAATGTAATTAATGATCTGCGATTAACTGTTAATATCCCACCAAAATTTTAAGGAATTCCGTTATGTATTTTCTTATCGAAACTTTTCAATCTACTTGTGCTCGTACAAACTTTTTTTCAAGATATCCTACGTGTGTTAATTTAAAAATAGTAGTGGCTTGTGTTATTTAACTCAGACTGTGAAAGCCGTCGATTTTATTTCATACAACATGATTTTCATCTTCGATTTGCTGTTTATCGCACGTCGACATCTCCACTTATAAGAGAAATATTGTGGCTTGGATAAAACATGAAGATATAATTCTCAAAAAAAATCTACTTACCGTCATAATAGTTTAACACAAAATGAAAGACATAATCTAAAAGAACTGTCACATATAATTTAAAAAATTTTATTATATACATAAAACTCTGTCCCACTTTTCGGGACATATCAGAGTAAAATATTGTTTTTTTTTTCTAATTTGGTCTGCTTTGTATTGTTTGCGGTTGGCGGGATCGCAGGAAAAATCTAGAGCACCATTCGGATCAGATAAATATTTTAGATGATTGACACAAATGCCCAAACGCACTCGAGCATCGACACTCGGAGAAATATTTAATGTAACACGTTTACTTAAAGTATATTTTCTTGTAAGCCGAGATGCGTTAAACTGTTTCCAATTTTGATCAAAACTTACAACTTACTTACATTTATTAACGGTATATTGTTCCAGTAGTGTAGGATGTGGTTTCTGCCATGTCAAGATGCGAGTTTAGTTAGTTAATCTACTAAGAACTTTAAATTAGGACTATAATCCCGGTCGCATTTGTACGCAGCAGTCCTGATAGTCCTGGTAATCGATGCAGCGGTACGTTAGTGCAAGTGCCGCCACCTGTGGGTATACTCAATTAAAATATCCCTTTCTGTTCTTTGAATTTGACAGTGCCTCACTGCAGAGATTCTCCTATGCGTTTCCCGGTGGAACTAAGCATTTATTAAATTTTAGCTTAAATACAAACTAAATAGTAAAAACCTGTTTAACTAACAATTAACATTTTAAAATTACGCTCTCTTAATTTCAATTTTGTAAAACACAACTCCTTCCATATTTGTGTAAGTTTCTAAAACATTCAGAGGGACGGCTACACAAAATCCACTGTCGATTATATCGTCAATGTCATCTTTAACGTCGTCGTGACAAATTTCAGAAAATTCCAACTTCCTGTCGTTAAACTGGTCGGTGAAAATGTGAACCTGGAACAAAAGAAATTAAGTGCATAACGTAAAGCTGAAAAAGTACTTCTAGCGTAAACTCAAGTTTTGCTTCCGGAACAAAGAAGCATTTTAAATTACTATTGTATTTTACAGTTGGAGTTAATATTTGTTTTGCTTTTTTAATAAGGTCAAAAGTTAAAATCTAGACATTAGACTGAGTTTTTAACTTTATTAATTAATTAATTCTAAAGGTTGCTGCTGGCTATCGTGCGACTGACAGTTGTTAATTCTGTATAGTGTGCATTTTGTTTTTATTTCAATTGTATTCAGCTACAAACTAACATCTAACAGTTGTTTTCTAAATCTACAAATGAATGTTCTAGTATCATTTAAAAAGAAAAAAGTTGTGGACGACAGCCCGGAGACGAGTATCGCTATAAACTATAACACTTGCACTACAGTTCAATATGTGATCAAATTCAGCATTTACTGCATACAGACATCTTTATTAATAAGCGAATGTTCGGTCTCATACTAGATCACTTCATTAAAATTAACGATCTCGTTAACAACACAATTTTAACTTGTTAATAGCATCGCCAATTTTAACGAAGTGATTTAGAATTAAGTGGATTGTCTGTAACAAAATACGGGAGACACTAATGATCTGTTTTAAAAATATTGAAAGTGGGAAATTATTTTATCAATAACTATAGCGTCACTGAATGATAATTTTAACAGTCATAAAATTATAAGACAACTACTGTAAATTTAGTTAGCATTCCTTGTTTGGGCTCTTTGAATAATGAAAGTTGTTACAAAGAAAATATTCAATAGCAAATTATTTATCAATGTAGATAGACATGGACGGACTTTGATGAGTTCGTGGATACTCCCTGTTAATTCAAATCTGCGTATAATTCGGCTTTATTCAATGAATTTTAATGTTGAAATTTTAATTTCAATATAAAAATATTTACTGAATTTAATGAACCAAAAAGTTGAATTAATTATGGTTACCATTAACAACGTATAATATGCTATGTTGCACAGCTAATTTTCCAAAATTTAATAATAATCACAGTTTAAATTATATAATAGCGTGAATTGTGTTATAAATTAAAAGGTGAACCTAAGCTCACAGCTCTGACAAATTCAGCACATAAATATTGAAAACTTTGCCATTCGAATGTTTATTAATCACCCTCACTCACGTAACAGCTTTATTACCATTCCATTTTTGCTCCAAAAATAATGACTCTGAATTACTGTTTTGAAAATAAATGAATTTATAGTTGATACGTAATTTTCGATTCACAGTAGATAAATAACAATAACTGTATTATTAGCATTACCAAAAAATACATGAAGTTACTTATATTTACCTCAAAACAAAATAGAATTACGTCCTCAGATCGTCCTATGTACTGAACCGCCCAATAATTTATATCGTTTCTTCTTTTCACATGAACATAAAACATTTCGTCAAAAGCCATGATCATCTGTAACAATTGTAAATCAACGTTGTGTAATTCTTTTACAAAGCGACCAACATACGTTAATCGTGTAGTCCGGTTTCTCTTGTTTCCACAAAGAAAAACACTCCCTCCCAATCAAAATGTTGTTGTCATGTTTAGCGAAATAATGTTTTTTCAATTCGTCCCTTGTCCCTTCCCAAGAACAATATTTGCTTAATCGACAGGCGTAACTTCTGTAATCACATATAAGATGGTGTTCGTCAATTTCTTCGATCGGCAGACACTGTTGACATCCGCTTTCCACATTATTACAAGGGTAGTAAACTATCGTGCTCACGGTTTCTAAAGAGAAGTTTCGAGTGTCGGTAAGAGCTAGTTTGCAAACCGGACATGAATTGGCCATCCAGCAGGATCTGCAGATGCTGTGTCCTGAAATGCAAACTTGTAAAGATAAGCCTTACCGAGTTTGGTTTGTACCTGAGAGACAAACGTAAATCGGGCCTTTCATGTAAAGAAAACAAGAAGGACACTTGAGAGTTTCTAAAACTTTATCGTTTAAAACGTTCATGTTGTTAAAAGTTGTCGCGAAGTCTGAGCGAGCGGTGGAGGATTTATCGGTTATCGAAATATGTTTTTAGTTTTAATTGATTTGGAGGTTTTTACTGGGAGTAAAAACTTTTCAAGTTTGCTCTTTTTACCGTAGTGGTGCTTGTGAGTTTTTACGTTATTTATTCATTTATGTTCATACAAATTAAACTGTCGTAAAAGTTACTAATGATTACGTGTCCTAGTTTCCGATGTAATTTACTCAGGGGGAAATCGAAATTTCCATTGTCTTTGAGAAGAACGTTTTTTATCGGGTTTGTACGTCGAAGCGGATACTTTATCCTTGTATAAGTTATTTGGCGCTTTGTAGCTACAATTGCTTTCAATTTCATACATCGTCGGGATATTGCCTATACTTTTAAAATTTATTAGAATTCCTTTTTAGCGCCACTTAGCGTTTTCACGGCGCTGTGATTCAGAAAATTGCTACAACCTCTCAAGAGAAAATTTGAAATTGTTCGTTTTGGCAGATATTTAAATTTATGTGAAAATCGATGAACATACTTTAAAAAAGTAAACAATCTTATTAATCATACATAACCATTGCTACAGAATTTTATTCTTGTCTAACAAAAAAATATTATAGTTTGTCATTTTTTCAATTTTTCGTTTCTTCAGTTTTTGATCTGCCACTTTCCAATTTTTCAGGTCTTCAATTTTATGATATGCATCTCTTCGAGTTTTCACTTCTAAATTTTTCATTTTTCAGATTTTCCAACTTTTGGAAGTTTCCATTTTAGGTTTTGCAATTTTTCGGTTTGCAATTTCAGGAGTTTTCAATTTTTGGGATTTTCAGTATTCTGAATTTATATTTCTTTTTTTTCAATTTTTGGATTTCTCAATTTCTCGATTTTTCAATTTTTCTTTTCCTCAATTTTTGTTTTGAAATTTTTTTAGTTTTTATTGTAAAGGAGTAATAATTATGATTTTTAAAATTTTTCACTTTTTCATTTATTCGATTTTTCAATCTTACAATGTTACAGTTTTTCGATTTTGCAGTTTTGGCGATTGTATGAATTTTGGATTTTACGATTTTTGGGTTTTCCAAGTTTTCGATTGGATTCGTTTTTTCTGATTTCTAATTTTTCAATTGATTAATTTTTTGCGACTTTTATGTTTCTTAAATTTTTGTTTTTCGGTGTTCCGATTTTTCGTTTCTTCAGTCCTTTGATTTGCGATTTTTCGATTTTGCAATTTTTCGTTTTTCCAGTTTTTTCATTTTTCATTCTTTTCCGATTTTTTAGTTTTTCGGTTTATCAATTTTTCTATTTTTCAACTTTTCGAATCAAAAAAATGGAAAAATTGTAAAATTGACAAAATCAAAAATGAAAAAATGGAAAGGTATAAAATTAAAACTTCAAAAAATCTAAAAATTGAGGAACTTAAAAATTGAAAAGTTAAAAAATTGGAAAATCGAGGATTTGAAAAATCAGAGGTTGAAAATTTGAAGAATTCAACAAATTATAAAATCGAAAGAAACATTGAAAAAAAAATCATGAAAATGAAAATTAAAAGTCGGGAAAATGAGGAATAAAAATTAAGAACTTGAGAAATTCAAGAAACGAAAAATTGAAAAATCGAAAATTCAAAATTTTAAAAATTGAGGAACTGAAAATTGGGACAATGAAAAATTGTAATATCGAAAAATTGAAAAAATTGAAAGTTGAAAAACGAAAACTCATGAAACCAAAACATTGAAAAATTGAAAAATTAAAGAAAAACAACAAACAAAAAATTGTGATATCAAAATAATGCCTGAAGATAAATAAATCTAGATTTTTCGGAAAACCAAGTTTTCACTTTTCGAATTTTATTTTTTATGATAATCCTTATAATTAAAATAAACATATATATGTAATGTTAAAGTAAATGTAATGAATCATGCTATGCGTTTGTTTCAAGTGAGTTTTTCTCATTACAAAATTTTGTGATGGAATCATTCACATTTTTGTAAAGACAGGTATTTGGATAGGTGTGGTATAATACTAGTAATAACAGTATTGTATTCCCAAATTTCCGGGAAAATGAATGAGTATTTCTTGATTTAATCAGTATAATAAGATCTGCCTCATTCATTAATTTTTTTGAGTCACCCTCGATAAGTAACTTTGAAAATTATGAGCACATTGATAAACCACAAGTAAAGAGTTAGAATATTTTGCATATTTCAGAGAGGATTTGTTCGGTAAAATTTTGAGGGGACGTCTGCAAGATTTCAGAGCATTCGATGTTGTAGTTTCAAAGTTAAATTACAAAATGTTGTACAATTTTGATTATTTTTTAAAAAATTTGGATGTGTTCTATAAAAATAAAAACAAGTTTACGATTGTAAATTCTAGAGATGACGTCATTAAATTGTTTGGTGGGTATGATTAGCCAAAATTTGGTTGGCGTTCTACAATCTGATAGTCCTAATATACATAAAAAATTTGACAATAATCCGTCGAGTAGCTTCGAAGATTATCTGTCTAACAAAAGTTCAGACGGACAGCAGACAGACAGACAGACGGAGACGGGGGATCTATTTCTTCGTACTAGGATTCATGAAAGATCCAGAAAACACGAGAGTAGCTTCCTTAGCTTATGCTCTGGAAATAAAACCAACTGTATTTGTATATAGAAGAGTAATTAACTAATTAGTAATATATTTATTTAAGAATTAAATTTACACCAATAATAAATAATAATTATAAAACGAGGCATACGCGGGGCGTCATAAATGATTAACATCCAAGTGGGCGCCTTTCGGAGTGTATAAATGTCAAGTTCAAACCATCTCCATAGCAACGACAGTTCAAATGTCACAATTGCTCTGACAGATAACATATTAACCAGAAAATCTGAAAAAAATATTAATTTCACAGGTCACTGGATGTATACGAAAGCCTTGTACATAATAAAGAGCGTTACAGTATTTTTAAATATATCAAAAGACAAAAACGCTATTTTTAAAACGTCTCTTAATTGATAGTGCCTCAGGAGCATAACTTTAGACTGATTTTTTGCGGGTCCATAGAATACAAAGATTCATTGATTGTGATTTAGCCCTTCCTAAAATTCATCGCAATTTAGACTCAATTTTTTTTAGAAAAAAGACCCTTTAGAAGTTTTATTTAATAAACAATAATGTAGAGATGTTCCGAATTTTAGTAGTTGACCATTATTAATAAAAACATTAAAAAAGGTGTGAGTCGTAAAAAAAACTCCCTGTATAAGTGTGTTTATTATACTGTCTGCAATTGTTTTTACTTTACCACATTTCTCCCATTTCAAATGTGCAGACTTCGAAATTTGTATTTAAATTATTCCCGAATTATACCTTATACTAAAAAGCATTTTCCTGGAAAAGCTTTGATCGAATTAACGATCTATGTACAGTTTAATTAAGACGAACAACTTCATTTGAGTGTGTATTTAAAATTTTTGATATAAACCAAAACGCTGTATGTTTGATTCGTTAATTGGATCTTAAAGGAAAGCGCTTCAGGCATCGGTAGTCAAATGCCATGATACCTTATCCCTTCAACCTTTGAACTTTTATGTGGATGGCATTTTTTCAAGAGTTTAATTAACAAGAATGTCATTTCGTTTCAGATGTGGCTGTGGGCGTACTTTGGCACAACACAAATACGATACCGAGACTGTTGCCCAACTGGCAGGAGAAATATGGTTTCCCAGCAGATGTACTGTTGCGTCGCCGACGGACGCCTATGGAATACTCGAATTTCAAGGAGGACCACATCCCTCCAAAGCTCAAGTAAGAAAAAGAAACATTTACTACCTCTTCGCAAGCTGCACGGGAAAAAAGACCGAAACTATAAGGAATTCTAGACTGACTTTAGATGAAAAATTCTTTTGTCAGAAGGTCGAAAAATGTGAAAGTTCCAGACACAACTAAGTTCACATTTTTATTATATTATCTGTAGAAGTGAGTGATATCAGGAGTTTTCTTTTGTCTTACTCTTACGCGTCGAAGAAAGAAAATTGGAGTTTTTAAGTGTAGTTCAGAATTTAATATGCTCCAAGCGAACGCGATCGGAATGATGCAAATCTTGTTTTTCGTCGTATTGACGTCGCTTTAGTCTTTCGGTTTTCCGAATCCACATCATTCGCCGTATCATAAATTAGAGTAAAAGAAACATGATATCCTTGCGCAGTGAACCAGCCCCTGCGTTTTTCATCTGATGACGAAGAAAAATCCCGTCTTCATGATTATATTTCAAATGAGCATTCCGAAAGTCCGTCCGCCCAAATGTCCCGATTTTGCCGTAATAGCCTGTTGCTCACGTCATTGGTGATGCTCTGACTTGGCTTTTCTTTTTCGTTGCCGCGTTCTCGCTATTACTTGGATTTATCCCTTGGTAATGATTGATTTTTATGATTTCGCCGTGGTTCGAAGGAGTTTATTCACCCCCTGATCGTTCTTTATCTTTAAGACAGTTCCGAACATCTCATCAACCGCTGAAGAAAACAAATGGAGGAGTTTATTAAAAAATAAAGAATGGAAAAGAATAACGGGCGGTCGTTTTTAGGATATATTGCAACAGGGAAATGACACATTGTGGCATTATTAAGTCGTATTGAGTTCCGAAATGAATAGAGATTTTCATTCATTAAAACTACGCAAACGTTGTATCGAGTTACATTGTCAACAAAATAGGTTCAGTATTGCAATATTTTGCAAAAGCGCTATTAAACAGGACATTTATTTTATTTATTTTGTGGTTTTTGGGAAATAACTCTCTCCTTGTGGTGTTAGAATGCTTTAACTTTCGTAATACTTTTAAATTTTAATAGCACTTTGTACGCTTGTGCGCTAAACTTTAATACTCCTACACACTTTTATTAGATCTAAAAAGATTAGATTCAGTCTACTATAAATGAAAATGGTTACTGGGTACCATATACTTTTTATTTTATCAAGGTAGGGACGTCTATCTAATTTATCACTGAAATAAAAGTAGCTATTCCAACAAACTCTAGCTGATGACGACAACCACTGTGATTTTCTAAAAGCAATAGCGAAAATTAAAGTTTGACAGGTTTTATTTTAATAAAATCACGTTTAAATAAAAGCAAATCCATAGAATCTGAATTTTGGCTTGGATCTAAAAGTGAAAATAACCCACAAAATTATTAACGATAAGACAAAAATAAAATTTAAGTTCAATGAAAAAATTGGTAAAGTTGTTTCAGCAGAACTTCCCTCGCAATAACAGTATTGCATTCCCAAAATTGTCTGGGAAAATGGAGTGAGCCGTTCCTGATTTAATCAATAAAATAAATTGTCTCGTTCATTTTTTTTCAGCTTCTCGTTTAAACAAGTCTAAAAAATATGAATGCAATGATAAATCACAAGTAAAAACTCATATTTTGGGTAGAATTTATTCGGCCAAATTTTGAGATGATGTCATCAATTTTTGGGGAGAATCAAATAAATTATTAAATTAAAATTCCTGTATAAGCAAATCTAAAACATGAGGTTCTTAATTTGGTCAATAAAAAATTGCCCAAAGGTTATAAGTATAATCCGACAAATCTAGCTCTTAAGGCTGGCGTCTGGTTCGGTTTAGCCCTATACTAAATACATTGAAAACATCGTCGCGGTTTCCGGAGTTGCATTTTAAAAATATGAGATATATCGCTTTAAAAAAATTATATTTCGAATTAACAAACTTCAGTTCAGGGGACCTCCATATTTATATTCATATCTAGTATGCAGTTTTTACAAAAAAAAATTATAAAGTTGAACAACTTTTACATCACATTTTAACCGGCACATTGATGCATTTTTTGACGAAGTGCTGAAGTTTTTTGCATTCTGAGATAGGAGGTCCCCTGGGGAAAAGTGTCAGCTTTCTTTTGATACCATTTATAATATTAAAAAATCCACGACTGAGGTAAATAACTCGCGAAAAGTCAAAATCTATTGAAACGAGAAATCGGCATTAAACGAGCTGTGATGCGGTAGCAGAATGCAAGTTTACTTAGATTCTGACTTGGTTGGAGATTTCAGTATTTTAAAAATGCAATTCCGGAAACTACGACGATGTTTTCAATGTATTTAGTATTGGGCGAAACCGAACCAGACGCCACCCTTAAAAAAAAATATACAATTTTATTTTACGATTTTCGTTTTATGATAACCGCTGTAAAGTAAAAACCAGAGTCATAAATAACACCCCTTGTCCTTCAGCAGTAGGTAATAGCAATCTGAAGCTCAAGTGTTTATTTATGTTTGTATATCGAAAGAATGTCACGTAGAAGTTAGTTTGATTTGAATGAGTTTGTCTTTTAAAATTATTAATTAAACCAGAATCGAACAAAATGTTCTGAAAATTATAATTCTTATTTTATCATTATTATACAAAGACGTCCGTATTCTTCACATTTTGGAGAAAATGGGGTGACTCGTTCTTAATTTAACCAATAAAAAATTTTTAAAGACGTCATTAGCATGGATAATTCTATTCACAGCATAAAAGAAAACTAGCCACACCGTTATACCAATGCAAGAAAAAAAAAAGGAAAGAGCCAAGTTCGGCATCGAACCACAATCGCAGTAGCGCAGGTGGCCGTAATTTTCGATATACTCACTGCGCCATGGAGACATTCAAACCGTATCGGGAATAACGTTATTATACCTTGCAAATGTTTTTGCACAAATTTGAATGTTTAGCGAAAAAACTGAAAGTGGATTCATACACTATAAGTATATAAGTATATTTTTGTGTAACATTCAAATCAATTTAGAATACCATTTGTTGAACTGACGTCATCAAATTGTTGGCCGGGATGATTGGAGAAATTTTGGTTAGCATTTAACCATCTACATGATATTTCTAATATACATATAAAATTTGACAACAATCGGTCCAGCAGTTTCCGAGATTACGTCGTGTAAAAATGGATACAGACATACAGACAGACAGACAACGGAAACGGGAGACTACTTTTTTCGTACTGTAGGTGTCATGAAACGTCGAAACATAAAAGTGGTTATTCGTCCGATGGCATTTAAAAACCTAAAATAAACAAAAAAAAATACAATTAAAGAGGTGTTTACTTTTAAGAACATTTACGAAATATTATTGGCTTTGAAATCACTGACTTTAATCCGTAAGTAATGTCCACGCTATGAATTAACTGTGTGCGTGCGAGGTTTACAGATTTTCTTTTAGAGGCTCACGTACTTAATTATAACTAGAGGCGTATAATAAAAAAATAGGTTAAATTACTAGAGCATTTTATATATCAAACGTTAATTAGAGAAAAAAATTAAATAAGCTCATTTTGACGAATGTATGATTTCTTGTTTTCTTAGCATTTCCAGGATCCTAGAACACGAAAATGTAGATTTCCGAATTTGTTCTTGTTCGTAGAACACTGGAATGATACAGTAATATTAAAAAAAAATTTTTAATCGAGGTTCTGTATGATAGTAAATCGTATGCATTTTTTACGATACGTTATTAAACTACATATCAAGGAATATAAGTTTCAAGGAAGATTTACTGAATGAAATTTTTAATTGGAATGAACAGTCAAACTTCGGTTACTATCAACATGATAATCTAAAATTTCATTGCAACTACATAAATGAAAATCAACAGAGATTTTAAAATAACATCATCAGATTCAAAAGTATACTAAACATTATTGCAAGTAATAGACGGATTCAGTTTTCCGTCAAAATAAACACTACAATGATTTAAGAAAAATTACCATGCACAAGTCATTGATTACGATTCTGCCTTGATAAACTTTTCAATTTGTTTTCAAGCCAATTTTTTAGCATATCTTTTTTTTTGACAAGTTGTTGAATTTAATAATCAGAGTATCAGTTTATCATTGTCAGCTCCCTCGCTTGTTTTGATGTGGATGTAGTGAAGTTCTTTTTTAACTGAAATATAATCGATTCTGCGATTTAAATTACACAAGAAACACTGCCGTTTCATTAAATGTATAAAAAGCGTTATTTGAAAAAAAGATTTTAGTCGTAAATTTGTGTTTGTAGTTATTACTGAATCCTCGCTTTTATTAAGAATTTTTTTGTAGTTATAGATTAACGCCTGACGTGCCAACACTCGCAACAACCATTAAATAAAATCAAAATATAATTTATTCAGTTCACGTACCGTTCTATACATGGCGTTTTTATTGGTTGCGATCGAAATTAAATTTAGTTCTTGCTAGAGTATTTAAAAATTTGGACACTTGTTGTTTAGAAATTTTGTTTCCTGAATGTGAACAAATTTCTCAAGTATTTTACGCGTGTTAAATGCTGACTGAGAACATCACTGCGAGGTAGCAGAGTATACTAAAATATTAAAAACAATAATTGCGTACCTCTGCTAGTTAGTAAATATGTATAGTTGGTACGGCACTAATAATGCAAATCTTAATCTGTTTTCTGAACTCAGCATTACTAGATTAACCAGTAACCTTAAAACCTCTCGCATTGCTTCTTTGGTTATTTAAACCAATGACAATGTTCTAGCCATAATATTCTGCAATTCTGTCATTTTTATGACTGTGAAATTAGAATATTTATTACACTTGTGAACAATTGAATGTATAATATGAAATTTTAACGTTCCACAATCGGGTAACTGAAAACTGAAATCATATAGAAAATAAGAAATTGAAAAGTTTGCAGACACTCCGTGAACTAAAAAACTTTAAACTTGAATCGAACGTGATTTGTTTCAAGCGAGACGCCCATCCACATCTTAGAGATTACTCATGCAACTTCTT